TTATAAAGACCTTTAGGCAATTTCATAAAAATAATAACTTGAGGTAGATACTACTAGTGTTATTACTCCCATTTCATAGGTGAAGATATTAAAACTCATAGAATAAATGAAAACTCAGAATCACCCACCTGTGAGTATCAGAGCCAACATTTAAGAGTAGGTTTCCTTGTACCAAAACAAACACTTCCTCTTTTCCTTAAAGCAGGGGTGAGTAACCTGTGACCTCAAGGCCACATGTGGCCCTCTAGGTTCTCATGTGCGGTCCTTTGACTGAATCCAAACTTCACAGAACGAACTCACTTAATAAAAGTATTTGTTGTATAGAACTTGGAATGAGTCAAAAGGCTACACCTAAGGACCTAGAAGGCCACAGTTTCCCTACCTCTGCCCTAAACCAGATTGACTCTCATATATCTTTCCTAGAACAAAAGAAGAAGATCAAAGGAAAAGATAAAATAAAAAGGGGGAGGAAAGGAACAAGATCAGCATTCAGCACTAAAGGATTCACTATGCCCCCAATCTCTAGAATGGAACTGGATCATTTGTGAATTAGGAGATATGTCTGTATGTGTATATAAATGTGTGTATATGTCTATGCATATATGCATATAAATATATACTTACACAGATGTGCTTATGTATATTTGTATATACATATATATACACATATATACATATATACACATATACACACCTCTGTACATAGACATGTACACATTTGTACACATGTATCTATAGGAATGTGGTATGTGTGAATGTGGATTATAAGTATTTATTTACAGAAACATCTCTCTTTTATATAAATGAAAAGTAATATACATTTGTCTTTGTAGTTACAAATTACATAATTGCACATGTGTATTATAGATGGGGCTTACCCATTTCTGGTTTACCTTGTTAACTCAATAGGTAACACTTCTTAAATATAGGTATTCATTACTTTATTCATTCAATAGCTAAATTCCTGCAGAGTTGGCTATAAAGCAAGCTTTCACAAAGGGAACTATATTTCCCCATAGACTTCCATTATGTTCTGGGAAATAAATATGTTACCTTGAAAGGATTCCTCAACAGACAGAGATGAGAATGTGCTTAAGGTTTTTTTGCAACTTGGCTTGATATCTCTTAAGTGCAAGGATGAAAAAAAAAACAGAGTGTGAACATCAAGTGGTAACCAGATGCCCTGTCAAAACAGAGTAGGAGTTGTTGCAATAATAGGAAGATGAGTTCAAAGTACAGATCAATTACCATTATTATATCCTGGGGAATGTTAGTGACAGTCAGACTCCAAGACAAGGGATATATTGGGTCAATGGCTAAGGATGCAAAAGGCCAGGATTTAGGGTCTTAGTCTTAAATTATAGTAGGCTGTGAAGGACAGGCCACAGAACAGAAAGCATGAGATGAGTTGTCTTTTGAGAATTGCCACTAAAACTCATAGAATAAAGTACTCAGAATCACCTACATGTGAGTGTCAGAGGCAAGATTCAAGGTTAAGTTTCCTTATATAAAGACAAATACTTTCCCATCCCCCCAAAGCATACTGTCTCCCATAAGACCCTCCTAGGACAAAAGAAGGAAACAGAAGAAAAAGATATTTGTTAACACTTGATACTCTAACACAAGATGAAGTAAAAATGGGGAGGGAAAAGGACAAGATCAGCATTCTACCTTGCTCTGTGACTATGAGTATGTCCATTTACCACTCTAACTCTGGTTCTGTTTTTTTACCCTGGAAAATAAGGGCACTGTGAATCCCTGTATTCTAAGATATCTCTACTTTGGACAAAATTCATCCTATGTCTTGATTTCCTTCTTATTCTTTCATTTCCCAGGAAATGACATTGAAAGACAATTTGGCATATTGGAAAAAGTAATGAATTTCCAAGGAAAACCAAGATTTAAATCCTAACTCCAATTCCTATGAAGTTGACTTATTCTCAGTTCCTCTAGACTTCACCTGGAGAGGGAATAGTGTCAGATAATTAATCATCTTAAGATTCTCATTCTTCCTCAACAACTGTCAGTTAGTCAACAAGCATTTTTAAGCCTTTATTGTGTGCCAAGTACTAGTCAAGAAACATTTATTATTTACCATGTGCAGGCACTATGCTAAGCTCTGGAAGACACATACAAGGGGAAAGAAAGACAGTACCAGCCCTCAAGGAACTTCTAATGAAGGAAGACAGTACATAAAAGGAAGCTAAAAAGATTTGAGGAGGTGGTAAATAAAGTCAGTAGGACAGTGTAGAGGGGAAAACATGCCTTACCTAGACTGTAGTATGATGTCTTTCCCTGTCTTACCAACCTTTCTTCTGATATATCCTTCAGAAAATTACTAAATTAATCTTTGTAAACTATAATTCTGCCCATGTCACTCCCCTGGTCAAGAATCTTTAGAGGCTATTTATTGACTCTAGGATAAAATGCTTCTGCTTCTGCTTGCATTTAAAATCCTCCTATATTCAGCCTACCTTCCTAGGCAAATCTTTCACTTCAGTCCACTTCATATATTCTGCATTCTTGATAGAATAGATAGAAACCTGCTGTTTCCAGAACTTGACATTCTTTCTCTAACCCCCTGTGTCTTTGCGCAAGCTGTCCACCATTCTTAGAATGACCTCCTTTTCTACCTGCCTCTCTTAGAATCTATAACTTCCTTCAAGACTCAACAGTTACTGTGTCAGCTATTATTAAAAACAAAGCAAATAAAAAATCTGCCGATCCCCCTAGGTGTTAGTGTTTTCTCTCTCCTCAAATTAATCTTCTAGTCACGTATGTGAGTACATGTGGTACCTGTTCCCTTCCTACCTGGAACCAGTGGAATGTAAACTCCTTTGGGACAGGGAATATATATTGTCTTGTGTCAAGCACAGAACTTTGACCATAGCAGGCAATTAATTATTAATGAATTGTTACATTGAATTGGACCCTAAGGTCTATTTTAAGTAGAAATCCTATGATTTTAGGATGACTAATCCTAGCCTATTGTTTAAGGAAACTTCTGATGTATCTTTGTGAACCTAAAATCTCCCTTCTTTTGTCATTTTTCCCCCTCTAACTTGAAAAACAAATGAGAATTTTTTTTTCTTTTCTCAGAAACCCCATGGATTCACACTTGTAGTTCCTAGAATTTATCTGTGACTATGAGTTAGAATAAATGACCTCCCTCCCTAGGTGTGTTGATACTTCCAAAGAACATGATCTATTCCTGCTAAAAAGCCATAAAACTTCATACACTAAAATGAATCAGTACTTTACTTCATCAATAGGTCTGAAATTCTGTAAAATGATTTCACATAAGATGAAGGATGCCTATGGTAAGGAATCTTTCCTCTGATTGTTTAAATATAACCTTGGATTAACTCACTTCTAGAAAGGGCAGTCCCCTGTTTAGGGGGAGAAAGATATGTATGCAGGTGTGGGTGGAACTTTGACTTCCAAACTGGCTTTCTTTGCCAGTTCTTTCATGAAAATGTACTATTGTAAAGGAATGTGCTGTTCCATCCCATCTGTTCTGTCTTCAGGGCTTTGGAGGAGGGTTTCCAGCTGATAAATGTCACTGGATTACTTTTATGTAAATAATGAAAACACCATGGAATGAACTGTTGTAGATGCATACTTCGCCCCTAAAAATCTTGCTCCTGGCTACTTGACAGGTGAGCTCTGACAACTAGTTTCAATTCCCTAGGAGAACAGTAAGACAGCAAAGGTGAGAAAGATTTTACAGAAATGACATAACCTGAGGGGCAGTCAGGGCAGAGCATAAGAAAAGGAGGGAGGTAGAGGACACTAGGGAGAGAATAATCTAATACCAATCAGATGTGCCCTTGGTCCCTCAGCTCTTTCAAGGTCTAACCCTGCTGTGCTCGCTGTCTTTCTCTGCTCTCTTCTCATTGTAACAGCAAGTTCTTGATTTTAATGTTACTGACCTAATCATTCTGAAAGAGTGTGCCCTAACTCTTTTGGCAACCAAAGCACATCAAATTTATGTTCATTCTCTCACTATTTAATTTTTGGTAACACAATATGAGTCCCTATTAGGAACCTTGAGAAAACAACTCATCTGTAAATTTCAAGTTCAACTTACTCCTCCACTTGTCCTTCATGGTTTCACCTCAGTTACCCCTCCAGTAGAAATGTCAAGATTGTCTCCCTTAGCCCTAACATGTATCCCTGGTCTCCCACAACCCTTAATTGATAATAAGAAGGAAGGGAAACATCCTTAGTATTTTCTTGACAAGTTGCTAAGTTTGGCTCATTTTCATATTATCAGAATCCTCTTTTTAAACCTGCTCCTTCCTAAATACCAAATTACATCCTGATATAGACAAATTATTTATCCCCTGCATTGATTTTAAAAAATAAGAGAGAGCAAAGAGGAAGAGGAGGAGGAGAGAGACAGAGACAGAGACAGAGACAAAGAGACAGGGAGAAAGACTGAGAGAGAGAGACAGAGAAGGGGGAGGGAAGAAAAGAGGAAGGAAGAATGAAAGGAAGTAAAGAAGGAAGGAAGGGAAGAAGGGAGAGAGGTAGGGAGGGAGGAAGGAAGCAAGAGAAGAGGGAAGGAAGGAATAAGGGAGGAGAACCAAAGGTATCTATTTTGTTATAGCAGGTCACAAAAACATAGTTGAACAAATAGCACACTACCCTGGGATATAACTTACTTCATATATGTTAACCTTTGACTTTGCCTTTTAGTTTCAAATCCCATAGTCATGGGATACTTAGCTATTAGTATGCTATCCCAGTCATTTTGGTGATGGTTCCCCAGCTTGCCTGCAGACTGTTCTCTGAAGAGACTTGAAAGAAAATAATGATAGAAACTAATGGATACACCTTAAAATATAATATGCCTGGCAAAACAAACCCTAAAATAGAGAGAATCCCCAGAACACAAAGAAAGTGAGCATATTGATGCTTGTTTTCAATTATTGTGTTACAAGGCTTTCATTCCTTTGGAAGGACCTATTATTTTGCCACATAATACAAAGTCACAGCAGGTATCGAGAGTGGTGGGTTGCTTGGAACTGCATCTCAGCCAAACTCCAGAGCTTATTTAGACCAGCCAGGCTCTGCGTGTACTCTGAAATAAAATCAACAGTTGCTATATCATCACTTCAAACCCTTTGTTGGATCTTATTGTTAAGATCATGACATTCATTACTTAGGACTAAACCTTTCATTACTCAGTTTGTCAAAGTCCTCAAGTAATACACTACTTGAAAAAGAACAAGCAGAATTAGATTCCAATTGAGAACTTTTGAATATATAACATAGAATTTTCAATGTGTTATTGTCACTATACAGTGACAGTTTTTGTTCATCAATGTACCACCACACACACACACACACACACACACAGTACTTAAGCGTATTTAAATGACTTTTTTTTCTTTTGTACATAATAGTTTTGAAACTACTTTTTTATCATCCCCTAATACTGTAGGTTTTTTTTCTTTTTGCTGCTAGATTTAGTAAAATGTGAAAGGTATAAGTTAGAGTAAGTATGTATTCGTCTTCTGTTTTTTTTTTTTTTAGGAGGGGTGGAGTATGCAGTAGTCTTGAAATTTCCCCAAATCAGGTTCAGAAAAAGATTCCCATGCAGATTGTTTGGATAAATATAATTTTAGCATAATATAATGAACTTAAAAGGAGCAAAGCAGTGGAGAAATATTGTTCTTTTGAAGGAAGACTCACATCATTTCTGGAAGTTATTTAAAGCTATTTCTGCACAGCCCAGAGAGAAATGGAAACTACCTGTGTCTTGGAACCTACTAACAATACTCAGTGAAGAAACTCAGTGTTCTCACCTAGAGAATTTTAATTTTTTTTTTCTTTCTAGCTAATTTTCTTCTCTTTGGTTGCTTCCTTTTTCTTTTCTGTTCCTTTTTTTCTTTTTCCTTTTCCTTCCTTCCTTTGTTCCTTCGTTCCTTCTCTTCTTTCTTTCTTTCCTGGATACTGGTCACAATTGCTTTTATATTATATTTATTTGTAAATATGCCCCTCTACTTCACCTTATCAGTGAATTTTGTAAAAGGAAAAACAAACACAGCTCAGCAAAACCAACCAACCCATCTATTGCATATAATAGTATATGAACATTATATACTTATAGTTCTCTACCTCTTCAGCAAAAGGAGGAAAGTGCATTTTCTTAGCTTTTTTTCTCCCAGAACAAAATAGGTTGCTGTATTTAAATAATATTCAGTTTAATTTAATTTATTTTTTTATTTACAATGTTTTCCATCCTCTCTGTTGTGACCCCATACATCTCCCTCAAATTAATATTATCTTTGTTTCTGGCAAGAGAATGACGATTATCTCTCCTATAGCTCAACTCACCAGTTCTATTTATTTACAGACCAACTGTTTTATTTATTTATTTTTAATAGTATTTTATTTTTTTCCCAAGTCACATGTCAAGAAAATATTTAACATTCACTTTTACAAAATTTTGAGTTCCAAATTTTTTCTCCCTCCCTCGTTCCCCTCCCTTCTCTGAAAATGGTAGGCAGTTTGATATAGCTTATACATGTGCTATCATGTAAAAAAATATTTCCATATTAGTCACAATTGTGAAAAAAATGTCAAAAGGAAAAAAACATAAGAAATAATAAAATAAATGAAAGAAATGCTTCAATTTGCATTCAGAGTCCATTAGATCTTTATCTGGATATAGATTTTCCTTCATAAGTCCAGAAGTACACAGTATTGTGTATCACTTACCCTAATGGATAACCCATAGGTTCAGCTCATCTACCAAGAAAGTTTATCAGAGTGTGGCCACTGCACATGCTACAACTTTTTGTAGCAACATGCAAGTTGGGTGAAGGTAGACACCAAAGGTGGATGAGCAGCCCTGAAAAGGGCTCAGCAAGCCCTCACACCAGAGGTGCTAGTACTCTCCATGCATTCCACAGACCCCCAACAAAATTCTTTTCCCCAGATAGCACTCTCATATTTGTGGATATATGTGTGTGTGTGTGTGTTTATATATGGATACATGTGTATATGAGTGTATAAAAACATGATATGTAAACATGTATGCATGCATATATCTTTCCTTTTTTAGAATGCAAGCTCCTTAAGGACAGTGACTGTCTTTAGTATTTGTATTCTTAGAGCTTAGCACAGTGTTTGACACCTAAATGTATATACACAAATGCTTTTCATTCATTGATTCAGTCTTTTATATCCTGTGTCATCTTACTTTACTCCTTGCTCGTAATCTGTTTTATCTCTACTCACTTTCTCTAGAGATAATAGGACCTCGTTCAAGTCTCAGCCTCCTTCAACTCACTCATTCATCTTGAATTATTTTAACATATTCATTTTCTAAGGTTTATCATTATCATCATCCTCATCAGCATCGTCATCATCATCAGCATCATCATCAGCAGCAGCAGCATCATCCTTACCATAATTTCTGAGACTGGATTTGCCTATTTGACTATACTGAAAGTATATCAACCAGTTATGCACCTGATCCCAGTTTGCCTCAGTATAGAACACTTAATCTGCTCCATTTTTCTGACTTTGTTTAGGTTGCCCCTCTTTGGACATCTTGATCATGCTCTAGCCCAAGAAGCTCACCGTATTTGTGCCAGACCTAATGTTGAAACCTAATTGTCTTGGTCTTAGATAGTTCAGAATCCTGGTGCTCAGTGGCTCCATTAGCAAAACTCTTTCTTCCCCATTATCAAGGATTACAGAGTTATCTCAAAATTCCTAGCCATCTTGAATTCTTCCATTAAATTGTAATATTCTTGTGGAATTAGGAATAGATTAAATATAAAAATTTGCTTGGTTCTAAAAGGAAATGTTAATAGCATTTACATCTAGACCTTAAAGATTAAGTCCCTTGTTTTACAGATGAGGAAGTAAGACCCAGAGACAGAAGTTTAGCAGTTTCCAAAGGTCACACAATACTAAGTCACAGAGAAATAATATGAAACTCAGATCTTCTGGCTTCAAATCCATTGCTTCACACCACACTGAAATGGAATTTCATGAAAGCTGTTTGACCCTATGCAAAATCACTTACAAAATCTAAGGAGCAAGCATAACTTTGACATAGGAAATTATAGGGCCTGTTAAATTGACCTTTGAGAATAATCCTAAATCCACTGATATTGTCTCAGATCATTCTTGGGCAAGAAATCCTCCTTCATAGAAGTGCATTTTCTACTGCTTATTCTTTATAATGTGTGGAAATAATTCCAATGATTTCACTTCAAAGGCTACATAGTCATGCATCTTTGTTTGGGATGTGAATTTTACAATTCAGCTATTTCTGCTTCACAGGTATGCAGGTTTAGCAGATTGTCGTTGCCCCCCTGCAGTTTCTAATTATTACAGTTTAAATGATTTAAATTAAACTGTGGGCCTCACATGGCCCTAGGGAAAGAAGCAGTACAGACTACCAACATTAGCATTCTGAGATCTGTGAAGAGTTAGGAATCCCCTCCACCCAACTAGTGAGTAAATCATCCTAATTAAGGAAAGTTGCTCTACAAATTGAAGGAAACTTTTCTTCCCTTATTTGTGAGATCCAAAACAACTTGAATAGATTTGAGATAGAATGAAGTGGTTAAGAAGAAATTATTGAAGAGAGGTTTCTTTACTTCAGATTCCTTAACTGTAAAAATTAATGTTCAAAATGACATCAAGCTTCCTTTAGCACTAAAGTTTTAATTGATTGTATCAGTAAGTGTGACAAAAAAGGTCTTACTATAAGCCTTGCCATATACTTTAGAATATACACAAAGGAATGGTGTGGAAGTATATGTGTGTGTGTGTGTGTGTGTTTGTGTGTGTGTGTGCATGTGCATGTATGTTTCTCTATGAGACTACAGAGGCTTCATCAACTTTCGTAAGTTACCATATAGCCCTCCAAATAGGAGGCAGCCAATAGGCGTCGGGATGTCCTTCATTCTTACCTCTCTTACTATTCGTCAGTACCTTAAAACACCATCCATACTTACTTAGTATCAAGCACTGTGCTTAGCTGTGAGATGAGAAAAGCAGACAATGACTCCTTAAGAAGCTTACATTCTAGTATAGGAAAGATACATGTATGCATAATGTTTACATAATTGCATGCATATACTCATACACATGTGAATGCATACATACACATATATGTGAGTTTTCATACACACCCACATATAAGGGTCAGTTAGGTGGCTCAGTAGGTAAAGTACTATGCCTGGAATTAGGAAAACTCATCTTCCTAAGTTCAAATCTAGACTTTGGCACTTATGAGGTATAAGCTGAGCAGGTCATATAACCCTGTTTGCCTCAGTTTCCTCATCAATAAAATGACCTGGGGAAGAAAATGGCAAACCACTAAAGTATCTTTTGCCAAGAAAGCCCCAAATGAGGTCACAAAGAGTTGGACACAACAGGACTTGCCTGAACAATAACAACAAAATGCATATATGAGGGCCGGCCAAGAAAAAAAAAATGTTTTGTTATAAGAAGTTTCAGAATAGGAAGTTTCACTGAACCATAGGAAAATTAATTAACTTAAATATTGTAATATATAATCCATAATATATATTCTATATTATGTTATGATATGTAATCTATAATCTATAATCTGTAATAAAGCAAGTAAGGGTGATTGCTTATAGTTCTAAAGAGAAATCAGAATATTGGAGTAGAAAAAAAGATGGGAGTTCTCCATCTGTAATAAGGAAAGCTTATATAAAAGTCATAAGAAAGTTCATAAGACATTTGTTGCAAAGCAGAGGAGAAAGAAGAGCAGGAGGATGCTTTCCTTCTGACTCAACCTTACCACCATGCCTCAGCTGCCTTCTCACCCTAGAATTTCCCTCAGTATATGGGACTTTTCACACCCTGGAACTTCCCTACGTCCTTGTAGCCCACTTCTTAATTGGCTACTTTCATGGAAACTTGTCACCATATCCCTGCTCAGGTATCTGTTTTGGCTTTTTTTTTTGTTTGTTTGTTTTTCATTTTATGTGTTGTCTTCACCCAATAGAACGTGAAGTCCTTGAGTGAGGGGAGTGGCTTTTTCCACGTACTTTTATCCCAAACATTTATGACAGTACCTGACATTTAGTTAGATCTTAATAAACATTTGTTGATGGATTGTTTTTGCCCTGAAGTATCCAATGTGGCAGGGCAACCAGTGACAATAACCCCACCCCAGCAGTCATTAAATAAATAAACAAACAAGTAAATAAATAAAGGCTGAATATGTTAGGAAAAAAGACTCCCTGTACTATGTACTATTCTGCTATTCTGTCTTTCAGATCTCTTTGTTTTCATTTTGAAAAAGAATTCCAAAATTCAATTTACTTACTCTGGCTCATAATTTAAGGGCTATTTATTAATCATTTTTCTTTGCTTTATCTGCCCTTCCCAACGTTTCCAAAAGTCTCCTACCTTGCCAAAATCATTTTAAGACACTCCTCTGCCTCACTAGCTCATTCTTGTTGCCACAAAACTATCCAATAGACAGGGGCTTTAACAATAATGTTGTTTTGTTTGTTTGTTTTGTTTTTTGTTTGCTTTGGATTTTGGGCATATCAGTGGAATCTAGACAGGAAGATAAAATTGAGTGCAACATTCTGGATAGTAAAGAAGCTTTTTTCTTGATACCAGAGGTTCCTTAATGCTCTTGCTTAGGGTGATTTTAATTGAACTTCCCTTGCTTCAGCCTCATTTCATCATGTTGGCTCTGACTGTGTCCTTTGATCAACTGTGGAGTACACATTATTCCATGACGGTATCATTATTTTGTATTGAACACCCAGAGCATTGAAAAGAGTCTTGCTTTTTCCTCTTTGGAGAACAAGCTTTGGATAGTCGGATGATTAGGCCTAGCTACTGAATATGTTCGACTGAGAGTTCACGGTAGGAAAGTTAAAATGGAGATAGAAGCAAAACTGTTTCTATTAACTAAAATAATAGAAACAGTTTCGTTTCAATCTCCATCAGGTCAAAAGGTGATAAAGTATTTAGTCAGAAGGTGATAAAGTAGCCTATGAAATAAGGAAAAACATGAACTTAGTCTCCAATTTAATGCTTCTAGGTCATGTGTATGTTTGTGTGCGATGTTAGTCTCAAACTAATTTCTTTCACATTGCTTACCTCGGTAAGATGGGCAAAGCTGTTTTTGCTGTTTTTTGTGTTGATTTTTTTTTTCCCGGGGGCAGGGAGAGGAAAAATGCCACCTGTTATAGGGGTTATAAAAAGATAGGAATGTTAGTGTACTGTGGTGGAGCTATGAACTAGTCCAACCATTTTAGAAAGAAAGTTAGAATAATATCCAATAAGTAGCTAGATGATATCATAATTAGAGTGCTGAACCTGGAATCAGGAAGGCCTAAGTTCAGATTTGGCCTCAGACACTTACTAGCCAAGTGACATTGGGCAAATCCCTTACCTACTACCTGCCTCACTTTTCTCAACTGTAAAACGGTAAAAATAAAAGAACCTGCCCCCTGGGGTTGTAAGGATCAAGTAAAATAATAGTTGTAAATCACTTAGCACGGTGCCTAGTTCATAGTAAGTGCTATATGAATCCAAGTTATTATAATGATTATGCAATGAAATTGTGTTTGTTCTTTGACCCAGTGATACCACTGTTGGTCATATAGCTTATAAAGGTACAAGACAGAGAAAAAGGGTGTATGTGCTAGAAATATTTATAGCAGAACTTGTTTATTGTAGTAGAGGAAGGAAAGCTGTTTCTCATCAATTGAACACCAATTGGCCATCAGCTAAACAAATTATGATACATAAATGTAATGGGATATTTTGTATCATTATGTATGATGAAATGGACACATTTAGAAAAACCTAGGAAGACTTTTATGAATAATTTCAGAGTAAAATGAAAAAAAGAAACTGGAGTATAGTTTATATATTGACTACAATAAAGTAAAGGAAAACAACTTTGAAAAAAATATGTAAGAACTTTGATCAAAGAAAAAACTAATCTTCACATCAGAATGATTGGTACATGCGTACCAGCACCAATGAAGACCCCTCAGGACATGACCCCCCCCTTCTTTAGTTGTGTAAGCAAAAATTCCTGAACTATAGCGTATCCTGTTTATCTCATCCTCTAGCTATATGACCTTGTGTAGAAGACTGTCTAAACCATGGAGCCCTGAAAAGGGAAACATGCTGTGATTTCTGTACTCCTTTGTTCTCTTCCTTGCTGGGGAAGATTTACACAAATGGACTGTGCCCCTGAGGCTCAGCCAATGGGCCAACGGGAAGGGGGTTAGGGCAGACTATTCTGCTAGGATCTATATAAACCTATTTTGAACAAAGCACTCTTGCACTCTTTGGCTGACGTCATTTTGGGCGATATGAGGGTGTCCTTTCTCAAGAAAGCCAATAAAGCAGCTTTCATTTTTGCAAATTCTTGTCAAGACTCTGATTCAAATTTGGGTAAATGGTCTCTGTCCCACACAAGAATTCTGATAATGGAACATGCTTCCCATCATTTGGTGGAGAGGTGATGAACTAGAGGTATAGAACAAGATATACAATTTCAGAAGAAAATCCATACATGTTTGTTTTGAGTATTCCTGCCATAAGGGAACCCTTTAGTCAAATACAAGTTTGTTTGTTTTCCTATTATAATCTGAGCTCCTGGAGGAAAGAGGCTCTTTTTGCCTTTCTTTGTAGTCATAATGCTTAGCACAGTGCTTGACACATAGTAGATGCTTAGTAAATCCTTACTGGCTTGAACTTATTGAGTGCGGAGATTTTTGAAGGAGTGTGGTCATGTAGTAAATGATGTTTTATATACACATATTACACATAACATACATGTACATAAATACAGATATGTGTACACATTACACACATACATATACATATGCATATGTATATATACATATGGGAGTATATTTATGTGTATATATATATATAATATGATAGAGAAGAGCAAAAGGAAGTACAGAAGGTGACACAAAGCACTTTTGTTACTATCATGTTAAATTTAATAGACAATTAAATACTATATGTAGCAGATATTTTAGTTTCTTATACAATCCCTTTTTCCGTTGTTCTTTGTATGTTATGTTCATGTTTACTTGTTTGTTAAGTTTCCTAGTAAAAAAGAAAAGTTAAAGATGCTTCTAAAAGGGGATAGTTAGTCTCGTAACAAAATGGAGCCCAAATAGATGAACAGTCCAGGTACTAAAATGTTGACTGGACATTCATAACCTGAGGAAGGCCTCAGTGCTTTGTCTCAGTGGCAGACTAATGGCAATATTCAGACAGGCATCAGAAAGAATGCAGAGCTTTAGATGTGTGACAATCTGTAGCAATGGGGAGAAAATTCAAATATACTATATTAGGTCATAGATTTGTTGAAATATTATAGTATGTGAATTTGGCGATTCAACAAAGTAGTACAGTGAATAAAGGACTGTTACCAAAGACCTGAGTTCAAATCCAGCCTCTGACTCTTACTAGTTTTATAACTAGTTAAGTCACTTAATCTTTGTATGCCTGAGTTACATCATCTATAAAAATGGTGATGATGATACCACCTACTTCCTGGTGTGGTTTTGAGGATCAAATGAGATAATATCTGTAAAGTGCTTTGTCAACCCCAAAGTGCTATATAATTGCTAGCTATTATTGCTTGAACAGTTCCATTTTCCTCCTTAGATTAAGTAAAAGAAGGGAAGAGCAGTGGCCTATTAAAGGAAAAGCATAAAGACACAATGAACATGCTAATGTAGCTTTTGTGAGGCAAAGAAGGATGTTTTTCTAAGATGAAGAAGCACTTTCTTTGTGGAAGGATGTCAGAATTTGCTACATATGAAGCTTGGAGCACAAGGAAGAAATGGTCAATAGAAGCCCAGTCCTTGGAAGGAAGTTTCTCATTCCTTATAAATGATAAATGGGCAGCAAAATACAATCAACTAGTCACTCATCAGTGAGACCAAGATAATTTGAATATTGGCTAAGGTCACACAGGGAGTAATTGATGTCCTAGAGCTAAGATTCTAACCTAGGGGAAGGGGGAAGGGAATAAGCATTTATAAAGCACCTACTTTGTTGCAAGCATGGTACTAAGTGCCTTCTTGTTCTTGTTGTTGTTGTTTTTGTTGTTGGTCCTTCCCTCTGGAAGGACATCAGGAGGGTGGTGACTTGCAAGTAAACTGGACTTGGGCAAAGCAGGGCTGTGCGAAGTCATCAGCCTCACTCTCCTCTAGTCATTTGGCATCCAGTGGCAAGACATAAGTCAGGACAACTAGTGATGGCCAGTGCTTTATCCAAATATCATCTTGTTTGATCCTCACAACAACCTTGCAAAGTAGGTGGCAAGCAGAGATTAAGTCACTTGTCCTGGATGACATAGGTAGGCACTTGGTGCTTAATAAATGCTCCACTCTTTCAATTCCTACTTCATCAAGTTCCTCTATGTGTTCTTGTCTTTAGTTTGATGCTGGAAAATGTGCTAGAAGAATATTTAAACTTATTTTTTATGTAAATTAATAGTGAGACATGATGTGACACTGTCTGCCTGAATAAACATTGTATTTTACCTGTTTAGAATTACTTATATAATTTATATAATGTCTATAAATTCTGCATTTCAGAATTTGTGAAGTTTTCTTCTATTAGAAATACTCTGGGAATGAAAATTAACTTAAAAATGCAATTCACAGTGGAAAGGGCAATAAGTAAATACAAGTTGTGTAATTTAAAAAAATAATTCACATATTTAAGAAATGTTTAAATTGTTTATTAGGCTATAACTAGTAAGGTGTCTTTGTTGTTGTTTGTTTTTAAATTTTAAATTTCAAAATCCATACAGCAGGACTTTGTATTTTCAGGTGCTGTTAATATTTATTACATCCCCTCAACTTCCTAGAATAGACTTTAATAGATACACTCCTCATTTCTAAGGGGTTTACCTGCTAATGGTATGAAACAGTATGTCACAGAAAATGGAAATATAATAGCTATATACCTGGTTGAGATTTTTTCAGAGAGAAATTGGGAAACTTCTTATTTAATAAAGAATAATGAAACAATAGCTTACTATGTCATGGATTTGGGGTTGTATTGATATTGACTGATGGAGTTTTGCTGAAGAAATCAGGGATAGAAGCAGGGAAGAAAGGTAATATAGTAGTTAGAACTTTGGAACTGGATCAGGAAGACCTCAGTTCAAGTGTCAGCATTTAGTAGCTTTGAGGCCTTGAGCAAGTCACTTAAGCTCTTTCTGCCTCAGATTCCTCAACTATGAACTCCTCTGTAAAAAGGGAATGATAGTAGCACATACTCCTCAGGGTTATTTTGAGGATCAATGAAATTGTTTTTGTAAAGCTCTTTTGTAAATCTTAAAATTCTCTAGGTATGTTATTGTTATAATGAGGTCTGAAACTGATTGTATTGAAACTTTAGCCCTCTTTTTTTACAATTAAGGAAAATGTGCTCGGGGGGGGGGGTTAGGTCACATGTTAAAGGTCATCCTGGTGGTCCATAGCAGTAGTATAAGTCAACCCTCATTCCTCTGACTCTCTGTATAATATATTTTGCATTTTACTTCTCTGTTCCTTTTTCTATGATCTTAGAAAAACAATGATATTATAGATATAGTCAAGTGCTTAGGATGAGAGAAAGAACTTCTATATACAAAGGCTTTGAATGCTCTAATCTGCTATAGTTCTTTGGGGAAATAACTGCTTTTCACCTACTACAAGTCATTCTGTACTCTTTATATTGAACCTTGTTTTGTAGTGCCCAGTAAGTGAAATGATATTTATATATTCTGAAGTGCCTCAATGGGAAGGGAGGAACCACATATACAAAAAGGATATCATTTAGAAGGTTTCACTGTATTGTGTTTTTCACTTTCCAAATGTAATTGAGCTCCATAAGGGATTTGGCATATGTTCAGAATGCAATAAAAATCATTAATGAGTTAGACTATTCAGGGTTGGTATTTATTGAAAAACCTGTTTCCTACAGAGCTGCTGAAATGAACAAACCATTGTTTGGGAGATGTCTGCCACGTGGTACTTCAGTGTACAAAGAAACATGTCATATTTTTTTTAATTTAAAAGCATATAGAAGAACACAATAGACACTTAAGCATACGTAATAGAACAAAGTGAAATTTTATTGTTTCTGGTGAGTAAGAATGATCAATATTATCAACTTAATGGCTTTAGTGATGGAGAGATTATTTTAA